ACAATCAGTCTGGACTTGTCTGTAGGGGAAGTGACCCTGGGTACTTCTGTATCTTGACTCCTCACGCTCCTTTTACTGCGTCTCTATACTGTCACAGTTGTGCATCACTGGAGTGTTAATGCTGTTCTAAGCACAGTGATAGCGTTTGATAAATTATGTAACTATATGCTTAATATATTTCTATGTTACAGTAATACATTAATGCCATGATTTCTTGATTGCATTTCTCTAGTAACTGTTACTGCTATGCGCCACTGGGTTAATTGCATCTTCGAATGCCAATGAACTTTTGACCCTTACCAGAGTGAAAAAGGTTGACTGCTTACTGCTCCAAGTAAGGAAAAAGTTTATGGACCTGTAAGTGCTATCATACTGCAGAAGTTAATGCCTCTGATAGTTATGCACTCTAATGTATTAAGAAGTTTTCATAACCATATCTTACATTTTGTCTCTCCAGGAAGAATATAAGAAACATGTTTCATTCTTTCCTAAGCAAAAAGAAAGAAGACGCTGAACTATGGGTACTACTCACACAAAGCTCGTCTAAAAGCTTCCTAACTATTTACTAAAACAATTAACTGAAGTGTGAATTGGGAAGGTGCTGCCTCCCGTATAAGCTTGTGAAAAAGGCACATCTAAAAATCTGATGAGAAGAAGCATTAAGTATCATTACAGTTACACCTAATTCAGAGAGCTCCAACGTGTACACAAAGGCAATTTCTAATAAAATAAAAATAAAAAATAAGTGCTTTTTAAAATCTTGCTTTTTGGTCAACTGATGCCTGAAGACAACCTGAACGATGGCGTACATTTATAAGAGAAATGAGAGACTCTCAGAAGATACAACAGAGTTCAACAGCAATCTGGGATCAAGAAGTAATTATTTGCTGAATGAAGTATCAGTCAACTCTGGCTGTAAGACAGGCAGTCAGCAAGTACATCAAAACATCCCTGTTGAAAAAACCACTCTCAGTTGCCAACTGTAACTAAGTCAATGCTCAAACTCCAACAGCAAGACTTTAATCTTTCCGCCAAGCAGTGCTGAAATGGGCACAACACGTTGCCTTCTGCTGGCAGGGAAATGAGTCTAGAATTGCCCTGCTTCAGATAAAACCATGATCAATGTCAGTAGTGCTGTTACACACCCCCCATGGATCACATGTCTAGCTGTGACTATCCTGGGCTGCATCAAAAGAGGGGTGACCAGCAGGGCAAGGGAGATGATTGTCCTCCTCTACTCTGCCCTCAGAGGCCACACCTGGAGTACTGCATCCAGACATGGGGCCCCCAGCACAAGAAATATGCAGAGCTGTTGGAGCGGATCCAGAGGAGGGCCATGAAGGTGATCAAAGGGCTGGAGCACCTCTCCTGTGAAGAAATGTTGAGGGAGTTCGGCTTGTTTAGCCTAGAGAAGTCTCTGAGGAGACTTCATTGCAGCCTTACAGTACTTGAAGGGAGCTTACAAGCAGGAAGGGGACTCACTTTTTACACAGTCTGATAGTGAGGGAATGGCTTTAAACTAAAAGGGGGGAGATCTAAGTTAGATGTTAGAAAGAAGTTCTTTACTCAGAGGATGGTGAGGTGATGGAACAGGCTGCAGAGAGGTTGTGGATGCCCCATCTCTGGAGATATTCAAGTTCAGGCTGGATGGGGCCCTGGGCAGCCTCATCTGGTGGTTGGCCACACTGTGTGTGGCATGGGGGTTGGATCTAGATAATCTTTAAGGTCCCTTCCCAAACTAAGCCATTCTAGGATTATATGACTACCCAAAGCACCATGGCTGAGGCACTTCCCTTCAGGCGCATCCATAGAGGATGTACTGCATGCCCAGTCTCCAGGGTTGCACCCAGACAGGTGTCTGAAGGTGGGACTCAACTGGGTTGAGCTGGGTTCTAATGGCTTTCCATGTCTCCAGGAAGACAAACACCACACACTCCTTCTTAGCACAAGTTTCTTCAGGAGATCATTCTTCAGATCATTTGTAACCTATTGAGGATATCCGTACTGCAGCCATTCTCAAATGAAAGAGCTCACCACTGAATAGCCATAGGGTGTCCAAAAGTGTAGCTGAGCCAGGGAAGACTAGATGTGGGGGCAGCTCGTGCTTTTAGGCAGCCCCAGAGGTCTGTCCCCTTACAAAGCTATCAGTGCCTGAAGAGCCCTCAGCCAGACCATGCCCATACAAACACTTGACTTCTCATTCTAGTCTTCTGAGGCTGTTATAGGGTCTGTCCTGAAGGGCCACACTGCTGGGATCAGGGAGTCTTCAGCTTTGTTTCATGGCCACCAGCCTGGTAACTAGAAGACCTATCAAGACCCAAACTTCAGAAGTCCTCACCTTAAAAAATCTGTTCCTATTAACCAACAGAAAGAGTTGGTTAAGTATTTGTTTAGCCAGCTGCTGGCTTTAGAGGCAGAGGACCTTACCAGATGTGAAAATTTACCATATCAGCTAACCTACAGCTCAAGGTCCTTTATTTTTCCATGTATCATATCATCCATGAACCACAGACTGGGACTTACATCACAGCCTCATCTCCCACGAGTTGCTGCTGACCAAAGCTGGTGTGTGACAGCCCAGTGCCAGCACCAGGTGATGCTGCAATGAGCTCAGCCCTCGCTGCATAAAGAAGTCACAACCAAGGAGAGTCACACAGCAAGCAGACCACAGAAATGGGCCAGTGAGGCAATGCATGAGGCTGAGGTGAGACGAGCAATAGGACTTTGTAAGGAATCTTAATCAAGCAGCTATCACAAGCATCTGCATTTAGACACATGTTATTTAGTCTAGTAGAAGAGTATTTATACATACATTTTCTTACTTATATGTAAGCAACACCATGCTCAGTTTCATCTTACACTTTACTCCCAAGTTATGCGTTCATCTTGCAGCATGCAACACCTGCCCATGTGCACTTTCACCCAAATACACAGTCAGCTGTCCTGCTGCATCACTCCCAAGAGGACTTATCTGGCATTTGCAAGGATCACTAAGAATAGAGTACAGTACGTTTCCTTGAATGCGCGACTGTGTTGGTTTTCTATCGTCTGTTTGTCTGCCCCAGAGGCTTCTGAGATAACCAAACTTTGATCTTGAAAGCCCTCCATGTTTTCATTTAGCATTAACAATTATACACTTATCTTGGACAAGAAAAGGGAAACTTTAAATGCATGGTTAGCCAAAACTTGTCTACCAGCCAGTTTTCTGTCATCTATTCTGCAGCTGTTACTGTTTGGAAAACCCTTGCACAGAGCATCCCACAGAGAAACAGAACGAAGCTACCAGAGGTAGGGGAAGATAGATGTTTCAGGGTGCAGTTTCCCAGGACAGCTCCAGCTGATCCAATAGATCCCTCCTGCCAGAATGGGAGATCTGCTTCTTCCCCACCACCTCCTTTCCCTCCTTCTGGCTCCATATTCCCACCACCCATCTTCACCCGTTTTGTGAGATGCTGGCAGTCATCATCTCACAAAACCAGTGTGCTCGCTAGGTGGCCACAATGGAAAGGTGCAAGGATGTGAGCTTGCACTGCATAGGAACCACGGGCAGGAGGAGAAGGGGAAGCAGATCTCTTCTGCAGTAGCTAGGCTTAACGGAGGCTGTGCTATCAAACCAGTCCAGGGTCATCTAGGCCACTTCCAATGTACTCAGAAGGGAATGCCCATAGGTAACTTCATGAAACCAAGATGGGAAATAATTATTTTGAAGATGATCTTGGCCAAAAATAGGATCACATTTAATTACCTTAATAAAATTAGGGACATGGTTTAGAGAGCAAGGTGGTGATGAGTCAACACTAGATTAGATGGTCTTAGACATCTTTTCCAACCTTAATGATTCTATGAAATTATAAGTGTCATCCTTGACTGTGACAGTAATAAGCTGACTGTGGGAGCCAGATTTGTTGAAGTTCTTCAATCCTCTCCTTAGGGAACGATTGCAAAGCTTTTGTTTTTACATTTAACTTAAAGGAATACAGAAGGTCATAAGTAAATCTCAATAGAAATTTTGTATTACAACTGAATATTCAGCTTTTTGTGAGGTGAGTTGGAAGTTGTAGGAGTCTTGTCAGCACTTTAACAAACCTCTTAGCACCAAGTCCACCCTGCAAAGCCTGCATGTTGGTGTTTCCTAAACAGCTTGCCCAGGGAGGTGGTGGAGTCACCATTCCTGGAGGTGTTTAAGAAACCTGTAGATGTGGCACCACAGGACATGGTTTACTGTGCATGGTGTAATGGGTTGATGGACAGAATGGGTCTTTGCAACCTTTGTTGTTCTATGATTTTATGATCCTTTCACTCCAGGTTTCATTTCAAGCTGCTCAGATGAAGAATCTCAAGCATAGAGAAGTACTTGAGCCAAACCACAGAGATGTGTACTGCCTGAATATGGCTATCACTGCTGTGCATTGCACAGTGCCAATGGTGCTTGCCATGTCAATGCTAGCAGTACCAATGTCAGTGCCTGTAGCAGCAGCAGGGATGGCACCTGCCCAATCAAGCAACATTGCTACCATTCTGCAGTGTTTGTTCGGCACCTGAGCAAAAAGTTCAAAGAAAATTCAAGCAAAAGCCACTGAGCACATCTTTTTCCATTCTCTTCCTAGTTACACATCTAACACACAGTAATAATAATGGGATATTTCCTCCTGAATCACAAGATTCATTGACAAGCCAAAAACCTTACAATTCCTAGACTCCTCCGTAGTGGATGGGTTCAGACTGAACCGAACACATCCCAGAAATTAAAAATTAACTGAGTCAAGCGTTGCAGTTAACAGTTTCGGCGCCGCACAGCCCCGCTCTCCCCGCGGGGATCCCCTCATCTGCCGCGACATCGCAGCGGTCCGGGGGCTGCGGGCTGCGAGCAGCCGGGGCCGGGCGGGCAGCCGGGCAGGTGCTCGGTTTCCAGGGGGCACGTCCTCACTCCCACCCCTCCCGCCGCCCGCCGGTACCCCGGTCCCACAGCACAGCCCGGGCAGGGGCACGGCACCGCTTACCGCAGCTGCTCGCCGGTCAGCAGGACCTCGGCCATGTGCTCCAGCTCGGTCGCTTTCTGCTGCATGCTGCTCATGCCCTCCTCCATCGCCGCCGCCTGCGGGCACAGCGCCTCGAGCTGAGGGGAGCGGGCTCCGGCCCCCTCCTCCCCGCCCCCCCGGCCGCAGCTGCTGCCGCCGCAGCTCCGATCCCCCTCTCGTGGCCGGAGGCACCGGCAGCCTCCCCCCGCCGCGCTCACCTGGAGGACACGGAGCGCCGTTTCGGTTCGCTTCCCCCCCCACCCCCTCCAAAACCCGCCCCGCTTCCCGTGTTATTGTGTCACGGGCGGGGAGAGAAACACATGGCTGCGGCCGCCGCGGCACGGCTCGCCGAGGCAGCAGCGGCCCCCCCCGGCTGTCACACGGCACGGAGGCGCCGGCAGCCCCCGGCACGGGAGCGGCTCCGGGGGGGCTGCGCTGCGCCCCATGGCCCGGCTATGGGCTGCGCGGAGCTGCCCCCGGCCGCGCTGTCCCCGCCGCTGCCTCCCGCCGCCCGGCTCCCTGCACATCAACCTGCGGCCCGGGGGCCGCTCTCACACGTTGCCTCCGTGCCGCCTCACCTCTTTGTCCCTCCGGCGACGGCGGCCGCAGAATTCATGGGGGCTGAAAATCGTTTCTCGCAGTATTCAGTCTTGGAGATGGGAAGCGTGAGGTCATGAGCACCCTTTGTCAGCGCTGCTGGTGGAAAAAAGCACCAGAATGGAAACAAGTCCAAGGCCACTTCTGCAGTGGTCCAAGAAGGGTTTTAATTTGCAGCAAAGCATAATTAAGATACACCTTGATCGTGCACTCATGCACTTCTCTCTGCCTGCACACACAGTGTGCATGGCAAAATGTATCTGCTTCATATTTGCAATATTTTCATAGTTTGATGACCAAGACTGGTTTCAGAACAAGGATAAGTATTAACAAGGAATCACGTGAAGGAATTGAAACCCAGTATAAACCAGGCTGAAAAGAAAGGGGAGGTGGATCTTCAAACACCCCATGCAGATTTACAGTATTTACTACTAAAAGGGGCTCTTGATTAAAATAATAATAATAATAATAATAATAACAACAACAACAACTTGGAGTCAAGGAAAAAATGGACAAGTAGTTGGAAAATAAGTCCAAGGAGGGTTAGTAAGCAGACAGCAGCCACGTCCAGCTGAGGAAATTCTCTGCTAAAAATAATTGGAAGCCAGGCGAGCACTTGCAAGAAGTTCCATATATGCCTTCTCTGCTGCTCCCTAGCATTTGTTCACAGCCTCTTGTGAGATGAATATTGGACCAGGTGCATCTCTGGTTTAGCCCAGCACAGTCACTGTAGGGAATGTCTCAGTGTGTCTGAAAGAACCCTACTGACCAATGGGAGGTGGGTGAAGAAAAACTTAATCTGCCTTCATGTTGATCATAGAATGGGCCAAGGAGGGAAGACTTAGGAGTGCAAACACTGCAGCTTGAGTTTGCCTCTTGTCAATTTGGAAGATATGCATTTATGTCAATACTCGCAAACACCCTCTAATCCCGCTCATACTATAAGTACATGAAGTACGCATTCATGGAGCTAGTAATAAAAAGGGAATTGAAACAACCATCTCATCTGACCTTATATTTCAGATCAAGAATTCGCACAGTAATTTGTATCAAGCACTTTATCGTGTGGCTGAAACAAAGAAATCTCAAGAGAATGTTATTGTACATTTATGTTATTGTAGGACTTTATCACCTGAGTTTGGCTGGTTCAGCTGTTCCCCACCTCTAAAAGGGGGGAAATGCCACCCCGCTCAGCTCTGGCTGCACATCCTTGCAATGGGACTTACACTGGTTTCCACACTTTCACCACCTCTGCTGCAATTAAATTTGCTGAATGGGCAGAGAAGTCCACAGAATGAGGCTAGTTTCTTCTGGGCCAGTAAGCAGAGCTGTGCAGGTGGCTGTGGATCTCATAGGGTGGAGTGGGCCTGGCTGGCCGAGAGCAGGAATAGAGAGGAGGAAGAGGAAGGGGAAGAAGGGGAAGAAGCTGTCTTTCAGCAGTGACAAGCCAGCAGCTTGACTCTGGGTGCTTGTGGAACTGCAGCCTGAAACACATTTCTTTCCTTGCATATCAGATTATTCTCACAGGTCAGTGCAATTTCCTGTACTTAATTATTTAATGCTCATAGGCTGCTATGTTTGCCTTTCCACACTGATATCCCATTTGTAATTTGTTCCACAAGTTCACACTGAAATATCTTACAGCTACAGTGTGCTTCAAAGGAAGGGATTAGGTATCAATCATCCCAAACCTGATGTCTCTCCTCAACAGTTAGCTGACATAATCCCAAAGGATCACGTTTCAGAGTCAAGAGCAAGAATTAAGCTACATAAATTGACCTGTTTGGATGTTTCTAGCTTGTATGTTTTTAATGCACAAACTGCTATAGAAATATGAGATCTAGCAAAAGATTAGACTGTCCTGGTCCTCCCTCCCAGGGCAGACTGACCTCCAGGACCCTGACACTGCATTGAGAGGTGAGAAAGCACATGAGATCTTTACAGCAAGGTTACTTAGAAGGAGAAAGACTTTCCTCAAGGTAAACTTTGGGAAGCAGATGAATATATACACATATATTTTGTATAAACATAGGAACAATTTCAGGAACTGCTGTTTATTTTATATGTGAATGCATACTTGGATTTTACCTTAGCGTGACTGCAGTTAAGTGATAAGAGTTGGACTCAGTGATCCATATTAATAGTAGAATCGTAGAACCACCAGTGTTGGAAAAGACCTCCAAGATCATCCAATCCAACCATCCACCTTCCACAAATATTTCCCATTAAACCACGTCCCTCTGTACAACACCTAAATGTTTCTTGGACACCTCTAGGGATGGTGACTCCACCAGCTCCCCGGGCAGCCTGTTCAAGTGCCTGACCGCATTTTTGGAGAATACATTTTTCCTAACATTCAACTTGAATTTCCCCTGACACAACTTGAGGCAATTCTGTCTTGTCATGTGTCACTGCTACCTGGGAGCAGAGGCCGACCCCCACCTCACCACAGCCTCCTTTCAGGTAGTTGTAGAGAGCAGCGTCTCTCCTGAGCCTCCTCTTCTATGACTGAACAACCCTCAGTTCCCTCAGCCATTCCCCATAAGATCTGTGCTCCAGACCCTTCACAGCTTTGCTGCCTTTCTCTGGACACGCTCCAGGGCCTTGATGTATTTCTTGTAGTGATGGGCCCAAAATTGAACAAAAAAAGTACAGCCTCACCAGAGCTGAGTACAGAGGGATGATCTTTGATCCTGCTGGCTGTGCTTTTTCTGGTACAAGCCAAGATGCCATATGAATCCTTTCCAAGTTGAAATATTCCATGATCCTGTGATGTTAAGGTAGCTAGCTAAGGTTAAGGCATTCCTCATCCAAAAGTGTGACAAACCTTTGAGCTGGAGCCCAGCGACATCTTAAAATTCATCCTCTACAACATCCAGAGTAATGAGAGCTGCATTTGTCTGGTGCAGAGTTGGTAGCACAGGCACTGGGGAAACTCAAGTCTTCCACTGGTGGTGACAGCAGAGGCTTTCTGACATACAGCAAGGCACAAAGCCATACATTTGAACCCCAGAGATCGTGGCACTGGGACATGACCCTGTGTTCAAGTTTAAAAGCAATTCTAGTGATTTGTGTAAACTTTCTTATTGCATTGAGTAAATATACAAATGGTAAAACATAAATGCCTACATACTAAATACTAATACTAAATACTAAATACTGCTTTCAGAACACTGTTTATGGAATATTACATCTGTGACCTAAATTTTGACTTGATAAATTAATTTAAGATTAGATAAACTAATTCCTTAGTCCAATAATTAATTAAATGCAAACTTAATTTAAAGTGAGACATTCATATGAACAATTTACCAGTGTTCTTATGTACACTTCTTCCTTCTGTGGCATTGTTCACATAAGATTGATCTTTCATTGCTGGGATGACTAGAGCTTTTGAAAGAGGAAAATGATGGAGAAATCATTAAGGCATGCAAAAAATGGTGAAGCACTTCAGGGATAAAAGGCATTGGCAGACGAGCTGTTCGATTGGCTTGCTGTTCTTGTTTTCCTAGCATATTTTGTGTAAGAGCCATCACATTTAAAAGCACCTGGTTCTTTTCTTACTCAAGAAGACAGAAAAGCATATGATTTTGGCCTTTAATTGGTCTCTCTTCTAAGCAGATTTTCCAACACTTTGGAAAAAGGAGTGTGTGTGTGGTTTCAGTGTTTTTTTGTTTAATTTTTTTTTCTATATTCCCATGCTTATTTGCAAAGAGATCTTATTTGTCTTTGTGTTTCAGCTAGTTAACTTCCTTAGTACCAGAGGTCTGGCAAAGGAAAGCAGAGAAACTACCAGGTATTGTCCGGCCTGTCCTCCTCTTTTCATGCTATGTACAATAGTATTTCCCATTCTTGGCAGTGCATAGATTACATTCATTGCTGTTCATTTGCTGCTCTGAGCTTGAACAATTTAAGTTGTCTGCTAGAAACTGGTTAGAAGAATCAGTGCTTGTGTGATTCAAAGGGCTGAATGCATCTGGCCAGGCTAATTTTAGTCTTGTGATAAACCACAGGAAAAGTCAGCAAGTTTTCATACACACACACACACACACACACACACACACAAAAAAAAAAAAAAAAGCATGTTTTATACTTCTCTTTTTGCAATATAACATCCAAGTTCCTGCAAAAGCCACCATGGTGAGATAACAGGAGGATCTATCACAATTAATGTCTAACATTTCAGCACGAGTGAGACTTGTATCTGTTCAGATCCTTACATTTCATGTATCGCTGACCTGGCAATCGTTATAACAACAAGATGAAAAATAGAGAAAAAGACACTTTGATCCTGAGACATGCAGAGATGATCTAAAAGGGGCTTTTTGAGCCTATCCTTACCCAGCTTTTCCATTTCATGTTAAATAGCCAGGTTCTCTCTGGGTCAGAGATACTGAGACTCGTATGCAGGCTGGTGTCTAAAGCACTATCATGAGGCAGATACATGTTCTAGGGCTTGCTCCTGTCAGTGGAGAAACACTTTATGAAAATAAACAGCTTCAGTAAGAAAAAAAAAAAAAGAGAAATCCATATCAGACCTGTAGACTCGATAACTGTTGATAGTGCACTCTGCTAAACTCACATTTTTGTTAGCCAATATGGTAATTGAT